TTGGGGCTTGAACATTTAATGCGCAGAAACCACCTTCACAATGCTCTTAAATTAGACGCAGTATAACGACACTAGCTTGAGAGTACGTTGAAACCGTCGCAATGAGACTAGGTCACAATGTAGTGAGATGGTTTATTGGCCACAGCGACATATTGTGCTATGCTGGGTAGTATTTTTGCATCTTCTGAACAACTCACACCAGACTGTTAAATTGCTAAAAGCCAGATAAACAGGTCCTGCACCTCTAGGTTGGCGCTTGAAGTGCGAGTGGCTCCTTTCTCCGTAATACAGACTCCATAGCTTAGTAGCAAAACCCTGTCTTACGGTCGGGTGTTTTAACCAAAGTCTTTGGTTGAGAATCGTGCTCGTTTTTCGTTCTAAGCCTAGACAATCTGACATCCTTCTCACGCAATACCAAGAAATGTTCTCCTACAATTAGTTGATGCACGTTGTGTCGAAGAAGGCAATCAATAAGACTATATCCGTTGCTTCCAGTGTGACAGGCAGAGTTTGGGTTGCTATTGCTCACGCCTCCTTGTATTTTTATTTCCCCACGATTTCTTACCTTAAGCGTGCCGTACCAACTTCAGTTTTATCACCGAGTTTTCAACCTTCTATTCGTTGTCCCCCCCCCAACCTGGATTAAGTAGACGTCCATCTTCTAGTTTGAACTCACACCTAAACGCGCAGCGTAACTAATGCCTTTTCGACGAGCCCATGTCCAACCATGTGGACATGAGCTGTTTAGCACTTTCATCTTGGAGCTCGCAATCCTCTCGCACACTGGCATGCCGCAATGTACGCAGATTGGTAGAGAACAGTGAACTGGCTGTACTTGCTAGAACATTAGAGAACGCATCAATCAATACCTGCTGCTTACCGAAACCCAGCGGCAAGAAGGATCTCTGTGCTCTCTGCGATCCATTTTAGGTGCTTCATCGCCGCACCTATACGGTTAAGGTCCGAAAGACAATGAACACATTTGGCTGGATACACTTATTGACATGGCTAGGGGCCGATCTAAATAGCAATTGTTCAGTAAGTTTTCTTTCGAACCCTTCGCTTTGGCTCCCCTTTTGACCTTGATCCCAGTCCTTATGCATAGCATAACTGCGTGATAACGGACAGCTACCACCTTTCCGGAACAATGTCCATCCGTTACTTGTGGCGCGATTGGCGCGCCCGCGTGGTTTTCCTACTGTTTTTCTCGTGTATTGCAGAACAAAGGTTTGGTGTCCTAAATTTTAGCCAACGTGCATAATGAATAAATAGAACTGTACGTTACAAATATATATTTATCTCTTAAAGAATGCAAGAAGTGTATTTACCAATTTTGAAAACCGGCTCAAGTAGCATGTTTTCAGGCATTTATCTGAAAAAGCAAAGATTAACATATAAGGCGTCCAAATGATACCTGACATTTGCACTGAAATGCATTCACCGCCTTGTTCCCCAAGCTGTAACTAAGGGAAAAGGCTGAAGAATAATAGTCCGCTTGGTTTTATTATACGTAATGTAGCCACCACCAATAAACTTGGTCTAATATATTCTAGTTCGTTTCAATGATCTTTTGTACTGCAAAGAATACTACGCGTGTTACTTATTCGTCAGCTCCAGCGGACTTTTATATTACAAGATCATTGGCTAACATTAAGTTGGCTTGTACTTGCGGCCAACAAAAATCGGTATACACAGACTAAACAATAGAAAACATGCAATGTCATTAATCGCAATCACGATCAATGAAAAGCCCCCAGATACAAATTATGCAAATAACAGATAGAGTGTGGGCAAAGCTATGGTCGCTAACATCTTAGGCGGAGGAGCAGCCACAACTTGATAAAGCGCTATCAGCTAGCTGTATAAATACGAATAGATTTAGGAACGAAGTAAATCAAACGGTTGGGCATGAGTAAACAAAGCACTTCTCTAATGGGCCTTAAGGTCTTCCGAGGTTATTTTTCTACAGCTTTCATGCTTAGCGCAAGTGCTACAACTGTTCAGACAAAAGAGAAATCCATCAATTTACGTTCCTATGCTTACAATGCCTAGCATACTCCGTGTTCTGATTATTAAACTTGTAACTTTTTTCACCCACAGGTCTAAGTATCTCGCCTATCTGTCATATTCCACAGGCTGTCACCTTTATTATATTGCGTTTGTGTTAACAGTTGTTCGTTGGTACTTTGGATTAAATCTATTAAAAGTTTCTCGATCTAAGCCTTAAATCAATTTTTGTCTATACGTATGCTCATCTGGGGTGGGTTGTAAAACCGATACAGTGTTAGCATGTGGGTATCAGGCTCAGTTCCAGTTTACGTGGTAAGTCATACGAAGACAGCTACAGGAGACTAGAGCTGTACCATCCCATCTACCGTCCGTTTCAAGTGGGCCCCTTAATGACGCACCAGATTTTACCTCTGGGTGACTTCCCTATGTGCATGCCACTGCTGCAGATGCAAAAAAGTAGCACTCGCTAGCACAATTGCAAGCTTGTAGTATTGGACCTGCAGCGGATAGCTCAAAAGCTAAACCTCGAGCAACCATTGATGACAAGGCAAAGTCGGTGTGGAAATTAAAGAAACCCATGGCCACTCGCTTTGGAGGTTACAGTATTCTAGAGTGCAGCGCACAGCCAAACTGCCTTTACAGGAAGCGACAGTAAATAACCTGACTCCGCTTAAGTACCTGATAACTAATCATCAGAGTAATGTTATGGGGACCCAACGTTCCTATAATTATTACAGGCTGAAATTACGGAAGGCTGAAAACCCGATTCATGCAAGTGCACATGTACTCGTATTAGAAAAAACGTACATGTTCAATCAACCTTCCAACTCATGAAACATTCACGTTCGTTTAGCCTTTGCACCCAAAAACAGTCTCGTTTCCAACCAAACACTCATTGTTGTATCCAAGCAACATTTATTTTCCGGACAACTCTCGCCAAACTTCCAACATTTCTGCTCAGTTTACGGACTTTGCACAGTTACGTAAAACCATGTTTCTTGTTTCCAGGGTTAGCTTACGCAAACCCTTCCAAGGGAAAACCCCCCTTCATCACCGTTTCGTGATATAAAAATGAGGCTGTACCACGCTAGAATCGCCTTAGCTTTGGCCAGTAAAAGCGTCTGTGGCAAAAAGGCCTGTCTTGTTCTTGATTATTTTTGGGTTAGAAAATCGTGCGTATAAACTTTGCGTTCGGTCTAGGAACCCGTTCGACTCGCGTGAATTAATTTTCGCGGCTAAGTTCCGAGAACCCACAGACTTCGAGATTTGTCAGTTACTGTGATGTGCGAGAAAATAATTCTGAGTCTCGTTAGTTCATCCGACTAGGAGAGTTGGTAACACATTGTTAGAACCTGACGTATTCCAGAGGCAGTACTCAACAAGTAACTAATATGTAAACCTGTAGGCTCACTATTTTCAGCATTCAGTATTTAAAAGTCTACCTCCGATAATGCTTTACGTCATCTGATAATAAAATTTTACTGCCGAAACAACATATACTATTTGTACATGATTATTATAGAAAGGTTCAATTTTCCGCACCTAATACAGGCGTAGTTTAGTTTACCATATTGCCATGCATACATTATGGCACAATAGAAATAACGCTGTGATTTGATTGGTGTCCGGTAGGCTTGCCGAGGGGTCCGACAAGTGATCGATCTGCCTGAGTATGCATTCTTTTGGTTCCAGCTGAATACACAGGTAACGTTTGCGAGAAACCGGTATAAATTGTAAACAAGTGCTAGTGATAAGCATGCAACAATGCAGTGCGTATTGTATTTATAAATACCGTCTTATCACCACTTGATAACTAGGACATCCCATATCAAAGTACATTTGAATAATGGGCATACCGCTACTAATTCGAACGACTGAATAATACCATATCGAATTATCCCGCATAATATGAGTTAATGGTTATGTTAAAATCTACATTCCGATTTCACTCTGTAGCCGTGCGTTTGGTAGTCAGCAGCCGATAGGTCATTAATGATAGTCTGCCCCTTCAATTCTCACAGAAGAAGGGCCAGCCAATCCATTTAGACAAGCTTTTAGTCACTCGTAAGGCAATGGATTAATGTGAAAATAACTAGCGTGAGCTGATTAAATATGTTGTCAATGAAGATTTTACCTCTTTAGCACCTTAGTTATTTGCCTAAAAGGTGTTAATTTATGAAAAATCGTAAGATGGTTTCGTAGGAGTCTTCATTATAGCTACATGGGTGACCAAACGTTGTGCCTACAGCCGTCTCAATTAGGCATGTTTCGTTCCACTTTCGTCACTAGATGACCTGTTTGGTTTTGTTTAACGGCTATAACATTATATAATTACCATTTCGGTATCGATGTTGGCTCAAAGTTGACGACATTTGCAATCAGGAAACACGCAGTTATGTTATATGGTCAACGTGCGTTGGAAAGACATTCGGAGTGAACAGAGGTAGTCACAAATTTAACGACATATTGGCATTAAAAACCATTTTCAATTAAGACAAACGACTAAAGTATAGCGTAAAGCAACTTAGGAATCGATTTCGGCCTAAGCTTATTGGAAATTTCAGCCAGGAGTAATGATTTCATGGTACAATTTATGCGTGCCTTGGAAAATAGCATTCTGAGTGACAAATGTCGTCTAAAGGTCTCCAGTTTGGACGGCCAGGGGCACAAAAATTGGTCAATCAAAAGGCTTCAACGGTTACTCCAGTGATTACTTTTTGGTCACTTGCGAAGACAGGGTGTCCGCTACGATCATATTTTCCCACAAAGGCATACGCTAAGTGCATATATTGAGTAGACCCAAGCATATAAAACTGCTTTAAATATTACGCTACACTTATATAAACAGGAACAGCCGCGCAATATTTTCCTCTTTTGCATATAAAAGCAGTACTAGTAAATGTTAAAGCAGCTGGCATATGCGCGTAGATCTGCAGCACAATCTGTTGAGCAACGGGGGACGTAACGGCTAAAGACAGGGTGTAACATACCCAGGGATATGCCCTTTCTCCAAATCACAGAATCTTCTCCTCTGCTCTAACGTTGGTCCTCCGCCGTACTCAATCGAAGTCATGAATCTTGGGCACCGCGAAAACAAATGATGTATCTTATGTAACCCGGACAAGCTAAAACATTACTTGCAAATATAACCAAACAAATTATTGATATATAACAATTATAGCAATGCGTATTAAAATAAACCTAAAATTCAAAAAGGTTAAGTTTTCTTCGAGTGTCTGCACTACTTAAGACCAGTAATCTGTTTAAGTTTGTAAATAGGAAAGCGAGCATTTAGTCCGCCACTAGCGCGATTTCGAAAACGGGCAATTGTTCGTCAGGGACCGTTTGCAATATGACGGTAAAATTTAAATTTCTTTGGTTCCATCTGGTACAACCGTTTTAAGGAGCAAATAATTTCCCTTCATAGTTCTATGGATGATTAGTATAAATTATTAAAAACCGTTTAATTGTATTATATGTGATTTGATAGATAAACATTTTACTGAGGCATCACCGTGTGTACCGGGAAAACACTGCCTTGAAGATTCATTGAAGTTATTGTAGGTAGGATACAATGTCTTGCAAATGCTTGGATTGCTTTAAAGCTGTTACCGCTCGATCGAAGGCTGTTCAATGTTCTTTCTGTGAAGGGTGGCTGCACGTTGCGTGTTGTAAATCGGTGCCGATCTGTACGATCAACTGCAGAGGACCACTTCCTCGGTCGTCGTCTTTATTTGTAACCCACGTCGCGCTGGACTGAGTGTCAATCGCGTTTCGAATGGCCTACCTCCAATCAGTCCAAGTCCCTAATGTTTGCATTCTGTGAAAAAGCAGAAACATCCTCTGCTGCCTCACAGCGACAGGTATATCCCTGCCGGTCGGACTCCAGTGAAAAAAGCAGGTATCGTTACTGCACCACTTGATGGACTGGCTGCACCGAACCCGAGTTTCTCTTCTGCTCAAACCGAAGCAATCAGCGCTACTGTCTCCTTGGCCTTCCCATGTCTCTCATCACCAACTTCTGGTCCCCATAACCCCTCTGGTGAGCCGACGGACATTGACCACGATAAAGCCCCAAAAACTAAGACTTAAGCATCTGTAGAGAAGGATTGTGCACCCCTGTCCTTGCCAGTACGAGTGGCTGCAACTATGGGCAAGACTGCTGTCAAGGTGAAAAGCAAACCATTGTCTTCACATTCGCAGTTAAAGCTAGTTCTGGATAGAGTCGGTCAGCTGGAAAAACTGCTTAAGGATGGTCCACCTCTCCACAATTCGCAGATCCCTGTTAACAACCAATCACCCTCTCGTGGCCGTTGCCTAATCATCATAAATGCTCCTGAGTCGTCCAAAACCACTCCAGTTGAAAGGATTATGGATGATCAAGAGTTTCTAAAACGCATGATCTCCTTGCTGCTCGATGAAGGTGAGCCAGGAATCAACATCGTCTCGGCTTTCCGCCTTGGCAAGAAACAGGAGGACTCCTCTAAGTTCCGTCCATTAAAGATTGTATGTCAAAACGATGATGAAGTCCATCGCATTCTCCGACGAGCTCTGCGTCTTAAAGGAGAACCATATTTCGTATTACGGGACCTCTCTCCGGAGGACCGAGTAAAAATGAAGAAAGCAGTGGATGAACTCAGATGTCGTCGTGATAACGGTGAGACGGACCTACTATCGTGGATTTTCGCGTGGTTCGTAAAACGCCAAGAACTCGTTGGAGACCACTCCTTGTAATGCCCGGGCGTTAGAGTTGAAGAATGGACTGCGCGTAATTTCTTCCAATGTGCGCGGTCTCAGAAACAAACTAGACGAAGTTCAGCTTTGTGCCTCCATGAATCGGCCGGATCTTATAGCTTTCACCGAAACCTGGTTGTCCTCGGATATCCCGGACTCGTAGGTGCAGATCCCCGGATAGCACCTTTACCGGGCAGACTGCCATGGAGGAAGACCTGGGGGAGGCGTGATACTCTACTGGCAGACGGACTTCAAGACCCATCTGGCTGAAGCTACCTGTGGCATCGATGGCGACTTCGAAACTCTCTGGTGCCGTGCTCATGACGGATGCGGTTCTCTCATGGTCGGTGTAGTCTACAGGGCCCCATTGGCTTCTGGAGCTTGTCTGCTGGACGCGATCAAAATGCACGGTGGAGGCAAGGACTGTTTATTACTGGGTGACTGTAATGCCCCGGGTATCGACTGGGACAAACTGCATTGTGGTCCCGCTTCAAACGTTTTTGCTTCCGCTCTTTTAGAGACGGTTATCGAATGTAACTTATTCCAACATGTCACAACGCCTACTCGTATAATTGCAGGACAAACACCCCATATCCTCGACCTTGTACTCTCACCGACACAATCAGATGTCACCGACCTAGCCTTTCTTCAGCCCATTGGCAAAAGCGATCACTGTGTCATTACATTCCTCTGGGCTCGACGACTTACTCTTCACAACCAAGGTCACCTCCGCAGAAATTTCTGGCCTGTTGATCCCCAACGCTTACAAACGGCTGCCAGTAGTGTGGACTGGAGTATGCCCGAACCCCTGAATTTGGACGATGAGTTGAACCTCTTGTACTCTAAAATGATTTCGCTCGTTGAGCAGGTCGTTCCTGTCTACAAAAGAGCTTTTGCCCGAGGTCCTCCATGGATTGATCGAGAACTGACGTGCCTTATGAACAAAAGACGGAAACTGTGGGTCCGATTCAAGCTCATGCAATCAGGGTCTGACTATTCGGAACATAAAGTAGCTAGGAATATCTGCAACTTGAAAAAACGAGAGAAACGGCAAAAGTACGAGCTCGGTTTGGCTTTGCAATCCAAGACGATTCCCAAGGCACTCTTCTCTTACCTAAAGAGAAGTACCAGAGCAGGCAGTTGTATTCCTGCACTGTATTCCTTGGCTCATGTGGGTTTACTTGACGATGATGTTGCGAAAGCCAGTCTCTTTGCCAAGTAATATTCGTCTGTTTACTCGATGGAGACGCCGTTTCCCAGTGACGAGATCACAATACACACTTCTTCTTTGGAGCATGTAGAAATGAGCGCTGATGTCGTTGCCAAAGGCATTCGTGAATTAGATCCGAACTCCTCGCCAGGCCCTGATTGGTTGCATCCGCTGTTCCTCAGGACTGTGGCCGATTACATTGCCGCTCCCGTTTGCCGGATATTTCGACATTCCCTTGAAGTTGGATGGCTCCCGATCGCTTGGAAAGTGGGGATTGTTAAACCCATACACGTCAGGATGTTATTAATGTCCACTTCAGCAAGGCCTTTGATAAGGTTCCTCATGAAAGACTCTTTTATAAACTACGATTAATCGGTGTTTCTGGGAACGTTCTCTCTTGGATCGCTGATTTCTTGGATAACCGGACAATGCGAGTCGAGGTGAAGGAGACTTACTCCGCTCCTGTGTTCATGACTATCGGTGTCCCACAGGGATCGGTCCTAGGCCCAGAACTTTTCAAGATCTTCATCAATGACCTCCCGGTGGCACTTCAGTTGGATTGCTTGATTTACGCTGATGACTTGAAATTGTGGATGGAGGTATCCAGTCTTGACGAGGCGGACCGATTATAGGCTACACTTGATACGTTACATGAGTGATCAGTCAAATGGCGATTAAACATAAATCGCGATAAGTGCTCGGTCCTCCCCATTGGTGCTTCTGAGCCTTTCGGGACGTATCACATCGGTGGGGCGTTGCTCAAAACTTCAATCCTAGAAAAAGATCTCGGCGTGTTAGTGTCATCTGATCTACGGACTACACCGGACACGTTACGAAGGGTTGCTGCTGACAACAGGATGTCCTGCGCCATACGACGAGCCTTCTCGCTTTTGACTCCGGATATCTTCCGACTATTGTTTACTTCCCATGTCCGCCCCATTCTCGAATACGGATTACCTGCCGTCTTCCCTCTCACCAAGTTCGAATGTGACCTAATTGAGAAGGTGCAGCGGCGTGGATCGAAATACATCTTGGAGTTACGGGACTTGCCTTATCCTCGGAGACTTCAGGGGATGAATCTGTTCACCCTGGATTATCACCGACGTCGCGGTGACCTGATTTTCACTAGGCGCATCATGAGAGGAGAGATGGGGACGGAGCTGCAGGCGTGCTTTCAATCCAATCCAAACAGTTCAACTCGAGGCCACAACCGTAAACTGTTTAAACCCAGAAGACTTCGGATTCATCCTGCTGTCGATCTATCAACTCGCGTAGTCCACAATTGGAACAACTTGCCAAAGCATGTGGTCGATGCCCAGGCCGAGGAATGTTTCAAGCGAATGTTAGACTCTTATCTTTTGAGTACGGTGGGTCCTTGCAGCTTCCAGTGTAGCTGTCAAGGTCCCTTGCGGGTTACCGCATAACATCGAATCGCGGCCTCCACACAATGATCGGGAAGCGATGGAGCTGACAAAAGATTTCTCCTTCTGCTCTCTACAATCCTATGAACCTATGAACCTATAGCGAGTAAAATAGGAAATACCAAAAGGTTGGCGGAAAATCAACAGATGCGAATGGGCGGAAAATGCGTTTAAAAAATATGACATTTTGGGCTAGGTAATGCTTTGAAATGTTGCAAGTATTGAGAATTAAGTTGACTAGCAATTATAAACGGAATTTACTTATCACAATACAGAAAATAAAAGACTGAGAAATCCACATTGCATCTTATTTGCACAAATATTGTACTCGCAAAACCTCTAATGGAACATTCTAAGGCAACGTAGTTACCTGGGGTGTTCTTAGTGAACGGATATACGAAGTGTAACTTACGGATTGTCCTTTGAAGGTAAGCTGAAGGTAAATGTATTTTGTAAAGTCTGCAGCAATGCGGAAGAAAGAAGTGCAGTGACAAAGGCATCACTATGTGCATTGTTTATAAAATACAGAAGATGTTCAATGGTGGTAAAGAAATATGAATAACTGACATATTCTACTACCGTATTGCTGAGTATATAAATGTGTAAATGGAAGTGAGCGTGCACAGAATAGCATTTATTATTGGTGTAAGCAAACGGGAATGTTTCCAAGTGCAAAAGCATTACTGGTATGTCTAGTTTGTTATTAAGTGGTACACAAAAAGAGAATAATGCGGAACGTCTTCATAACTCCAGACGCAAAGGTTAACTGGGGAAAAAACGCGT